CCATTTAAATGGGCTCAAAATGGCTTCTGATAGGACTCCCTGTTTGTGCACCTATCAATTTGCCCCGGGCGAAAGCTCTGCCCATTTCTCGTCTTATCATTTTTTTTATTCGGCAATTTTCTCCAGTTATGCGAGGGATTTTTTTTTTTCGATTTTTCCGTGAAACACTTTCAAATATTATATATACGGGATGTCTAGATAATGCGAAAAATAGCTAGCCTTCCAGAAACAAGCCGATGAGCGGTAAATTCATAAAAAAACAGAAAGAAGAAAAAAGCTTGCGATAAGGTCAATTTGCCATTCTCTCCTCTTATAAATATGATATGAAGTAGTTTTCTAGAGCTAAGAGAGTAATCATATTTTTTTCCTTTAATGGGCACGATTTTGAACCTTGAAATTTCTCTGAAACACTAATGAGAGCTTTCCCAAAAATAAATTTCCACTTAAAGTACAACATTTTTATTAAATTTTGATAAATAACAATAAAGTATTCCACTGAAAAAAATATTTATTAATTTTCTACTTTTCGATGCGCCTCCATGTGGAGGAGTTGTTCTTGGCCGTGGAACAAGAAGAGACGGAGTGACCAATTACGAGCGGGCGGTAGATGGGTTCCTGAGATAGCTATAGAGTGTGAACCCATGTCCACCCCAAGTTGGGTATTAATACCCATCCTACAGCTTAACGAGCGGCTATCTCCTTGTAATATTAATATTCATCAAAGCTAATTGGGAAAAAAGTACTGGATTTTTAATTAGATCCATTGAAAACTTATAGAATGGTGTTTTTTCAATGTGACAGTTTCATTTCTCTCCTCGTCTCTATCTTACTTTTTATATTAAAACAACAAAAGAAAAAGAAAAACTTAACCCTACCCAGACTCTAGATCTATATGATATTAATATTAATATAGTAAAACCTATCAGTTGTACGATTGAATATATATATTTAGATATTTATATTTGGGTTCCATGTCCAACTTATTCAAATTTCATTAAGATATTTCTGAATTCTCATCGAGGAGTTCCCATGAATGATCTTGACTCATGATGGTTTTCATTTATTTGGGAAATACTGTACGAAATTTGGGAAATAAAATAGAGCGTACTATGTTTAATCGATGGAATCTATTGCTCTAACATGTCCTTGTTCACATATATTTTTTCTAATACTCAAGGAAGGTATCTAATATTGTTTCATCTCTTAGCCATAAATTATCGCTATTAAAATATTTCTATGAGAAGTTTTTCCTCCTCTTCTCTCGCTACGAAAGACTGCAGGATAATTAAGATATAAAGCAGAGGGGGAACACGCAACCTTCAAGAGGATTGAAGAGGGGAAAAAATGGCAACGGAAATCATCAAGAATAACCCTCGGCCAAGGAGAGGAGACATTAAATATCATGTAGCAAGCAAACTTCGCGTGTATAAGATTATTAACAGCTAACGGCCAGGAGGATATCTAGAAAAACAATAAGGACCAATTATCCGCTAAACTCCTCATTCTGGAATAATGGTGGCTCACCGGAAAAGTTACTTGCTTTATGATCAGTCATTAAATCCCACAACACGCTTAGTCTTTCATCCCCAAATGTCTTCATATACAATTCCACCTCTTTACAATCCTTTTTATTATCGGGCCGGTAATGTTATCAAGTTTTAATGCACTCCATATCGCCTCTGGAATAGAGACAATATAGTTAATTGCCTCTTTTTATAATCTGTTAATGCCATTAATATTTTTATTTCCTAGTTCGAGCTGTTCAAGACATTAAGATAATGGCATAGTGTAATGTCGATAATTTTTCCAGACTGTAAAACAAATGACGTCATTAAAGGAATATCTACATTTATTCCTAGCAAACTCATTCACGATATAATGTTCTTACTTGTAATAATACATGTTAATGAGGAAACTTGATAATGATTAGGTCATCACCCAACTTGCTCAACCTGAGTTTATAATAGAAATTTTAATTAATCTAAAACAAAGAAAAATAAATTAAAGGTATAAATTAAATATTAGGTGATGCTACTGTAAAATGTTCACTAGACTCCTTAGGATGGGTCATATCAGAATGAGAACACACGTTTATAAGAAATTTAAAATCGGAAAAAGCCATTTGTGTAGATGAAGAACAGGGAGCCAAACCACAGAGCATTTTCTTCAGACATCCTTGGAGGAGAACCCAAACCCCACCGACTTGGTGTGGAAACTCTACGGAGGTCTAGAGGACCTCAGGAAGATCATCGAGTTCATACTTTTAATCCCGAACTTGACAAATTGAGGGAAGATCGAAAAAGAGTAAGAAGTGTTAGCTGGTAAAATCCTCTAAAATGTGAATATAAAATGTAGCAAAATCTCTAAAATTTAATAAGCTCATTATTATCTTTATGTATTAATTGGCTTCCAAAACAACTCGAAAAAGGAAATAAAAATATTAGTGACTGTATTTTAGATACTCAAGCCATTGTGTTTGTATTGTTGTAATTACAACCAAAGACATTTTAATAATGTATGTTATCAACTATTGAATACTTAGGTCTTCTCCTGTTACGACACGATACAATAAAGGAGTCAGAACACCTTCGTAGTAACGCTCCGATTGGTCGATCCGTTTCCCAATGGCTGGAAAGCGGCTAGTAAAAAAATGTATCTCTAACCCTATTGGTCGATAATTAGGATTTGGTCTTTCCGCTCTCTCCAAACATCCCCCGCGCCGATGGAGACCTTTCTAACTTCCTGTCGACGCTCTTTGCGATTTCTCTTCTGCCTATCGTCTTCTTAATGCATTCGATGCGAAATTTCCTTCCGCAGCACGTCAGCCCACGGTTCCGGTTGCTTTGTGATCATCTCATTGATGTTAAGTTTCTGCAAATAAATGGAAGAAATCCAACGCTCTCATGTGTAGGTACCACTCTTCCCCGATTTCTCTAAGAGGACATTTTTTTACAGCATCGTTGTACTAGTAAAAGCGAGTACATTTTGAACTTGTATTGCAAAAGTTTTCTAAATGCTCCATCTTAATGGCGATAGGAATTCCCAGGACTAGTTTGGAATCTGATTCTGAAAATTTGGACAGTTACGATTCATCCGGAAAAAAATAAATAAAACGAACTGGAAAAACCGGTCCGCATCCAGTGTCAACTCACCAGTGCTCTACTGGAACGGGTAAGCAACACTCCAGGAATTGTAGTTGTCACTATAAATTCCAGATTAAGAGCTACTAATACTTAAAATCTAGTGCCATATTGGATATACATAATAATAATTCCTAAACTACCAGCTAGATTATTTCAATAGTATTATTATGATTTTATATTTGTTTATATATTTGGTGGCATGGCTTCCCTATACGAGTGACAAACTAGTAATTAGTCCATTCCATTACGTCAGCAGTTAAGACTAATGGGTTAATCAAAATAACAGAAAATGACTGAACGCGAACTTATCCATCCATATTATTTTTTTAAATAATATTTAAAATTATCAAAAATACGAAAATCGACAATATATTTGATAAGGTAGAATAGATCTAATTATTTTGCTGTCAGGAGGAAACTTAACGGAAACGTGAAGAATTCCAGTTTCGATCAATAAGTTCTCGCTGCAACTTTAATAAAAAGTCATTGAAAGAAGTAGGATGTTGCAAAGTAAGTTGATGGTTCAAGATACGACTTATTGAGCTTTAAAAATTTCGACCCGGTGAGACTTCTTCCAAACATACCTGGCTTAGTTAGTATTTGAAAGCCCAAACTATTAACGTTTTTAAGTATAAAAATATTGCTATTTATTATAATTGACGACTAGCAAAAATATTTTTAAAAATGTAAAGAAAGGACAGCTCTTTATTTCATATAGGTAGTTAGTTTTTTTCCTTTACTTCTTAAATAATTATCGTTATATATTTTTTAAAAAAAATAAATCTTTCGGGCTGAAGCCCCTCAAAAATAAATCCTGGATCCGCTACTGATTTCCACTATATTTTCATTTATTCATGCTAATATTTAAGACGGATCAACTAGTTTTAATGTGTTTTCAAAAAGTATATTATTTTTTTTAACATTTTGCGATTTAGAGATCAATGTTTTACTAAAAACGGTCTAAGGATATTCCATCAATTATAATTGAGTTCTTATATGGAGAGGAATGAATTTACGTACTAAAAGCTATGCTCTTCTTTTTAAATTGTATAAATGGCCTGTAATGTATAATTACCATATCCTGGAAATAAAGAAACTTTTATGCTTTGTTTATATTATGTTTGCTTTTGATAAATCAATGTAATCGATTTTTCACATCTAACTGTTAAAGTCATCTAATATTAATTTACATTCATAATTAACACAGAGAACTTACAAGTTCACAGGAAGTAATCATTCATTGGAAAATTATCCCTGAGAAGCTGTAAGAGAGATATGATAGCCGAGACGATTTACGGCCTTTCCGAGGACAAATATATAATATACCGTATATAAGAAACGTCTGAAAAAAACTAAACTACCCATAATATAAATCAGAAACCTTACCGTAAATCTAAAGAGTACTAATTTGAGGAGGTAAGCATTATATTGCACAACGCCTATCTCTTCTGGCTATCTCCTACCGTCGCTACTATTTGTCTACGCTAGCGATGTTTATCGATACCGTTGAAAATATTGCCGCACAGCTAACTTAGCTTAGGGTTGCGTAATTGCAGCGAGTTACCATTCCTTAGCTACTGGCTATAGTTGTATCTGATCTGTAATCAGCCTCGACGCATTTTATTCAGAGCTTGTTTTATTCGATGATTACGGGACCGGAACGAAGTTCATAGCTTTCGAACATAATGCTTGAGCGGAACTTGCCCAAAAAAAGAGGAGTAGTTTTAACCCATTTTTAAAGGATGATACAACCAAAAGAAAGGCGGACAAAGAACTTATTGAAGTGTTGGATGAGATTGTACCCTGTTTACAAGACAATGAGGGAAGAAAAACCGTCCAATAAACAGGACGTCGAAGTTACTTCATTAAGGCAGCAGGGGACAGTTCTTCAGAAGGAGGAGGGGGTACTGGAAAAGCGCTTTCCCGCCTCATCTCCTTCTTAGCCCTTTGGTAAGTGGGTTTTTCCGGATGGTGGCGTCGCAGCCTGTCCGTCCGTAACTGTACCGCTGGTCAACGGATTCGATCGTCTTCTGACACCTCCATGAAGAAGAGTATTTGAAGGACAATAAAAAAAAAAATCATAGAAGAAAGGGCTCTCCGTTGCATAATACAGATAATGAATTCGTTATGGCAATGCAATGATATCGGAATTAAAACTGGGAATTAAAATTTATTTATTACAAGCTGTTCATTATTTCACATCAAATAATTAAAATAATTCTAACTAAAATACTAAATTCTATAATGCACTAAAAATTTATGAGTACCGGGTAAGGGACAGTTAAATAAATATATCAAATAATTTTATTGAAAGTATTGAAAGGGTGTACATAAATCATCATAAACGAAAATTGCCTGCCCCTCTAAAGAAATTTATAATTAAATTAAAATTTTAAAACTTGGGACAAAAATAAATACCTATTTATTTTATTGAACTTCATATTTATCCTGAAAATTTATGATGCTAGGAACTGGCAAACTTTTGTTGTTGGAACTCAGTTGTTGACACTGTTAAGTCGTCACTTGTACAATTAATAAGTGATTTTCTATATTTGAAAAAAAAAATAAGAAAAAATAGAAACGACTTGGTGATTGTAATAAACATGTTTGAAGGGTAATTCTATTTTGCAATATTAACCACAACTATTTATAGATATATTTTCTTGTCTTATTAATGAACATTTAATTTAACTTTTTAATCTTACTAAAGGTAGTAAAAATAAAGAAAAATATAATACTACAAATAAAAATATTCTCACAACTGATAGAAAATTCAAGGTAATAACACTTTATTAAATAGAAAATTCTTAAATCGATATTTCATAGTAAACATATATATACATAAAAAGATTCTTGTTTCATTTTTAAAATCATTATTATTTTTTTTAAGCTCCCTTATAGTTTTGGTATTGAAGCGTGAAGCCAATTCCTTCACTCTGTGCTCATATTTCAGACAAATTACAACTCGTGTATTTTGAACGTCTTGAACATGGCGATTCTTATTTATTTCTTGTTTGTTTTATTTTATTTGATTGTACCGATTGGGCAGAGAGAAGCAGAGCTGTAAGAACTTTCTAAAGATCGACCGATGGTAGAGGCCTTTCGCCGAGGATCATATAACCGGGTATTAGAGGACCTAGGTGTATAACCGCTGGACATGTTCCAGACCGCAGGAGTGGATGGATTACCTGCCTCTGTTTGCGGTGGCTCTCCTGTATCCTCCTTCTTCAGCAACAACAGGAAAATAATTTTATATTCTTCCCCTTCTGCTCCTAGCTCCTTGCGGTTCCAGCCCGCAACCTGTATCATCGCCTACCGCACTAGGATAGTTTTGCAATTATTACAGTATTGATAACTTGGAAACAAGCACACGAGCAATTTTAACGGAATAAGGGGATGGTCCAGGCAGAAAATAAGTTTATAAGGTACAAATAGGGGCGTATCCATGAAACTCGGAACCTGGCGCCCGAAAATAAGATTTTTTGACTTTCAATCAACAAATTTAACTCTTTTGTTTTTAGGACTGTTGAGTTGTATTAAGGGTTTTATAATTTTTTTTTTCATTTTTATTACCTTTTCGTTAATTTACAAATTATTTAGACTGTTTCCCATCCGGGATTCTACGCGGTAGCTTAATTCACCTTTGGCTACAATTATAATTACCACTTTGTATTATTTCAAATAAATGAATCTAGTAATAAAAATAGTTATAAATCTGTTAACCTCTCAGAAGTTGTACTGTTTCGTCATGAATTTTCAAATAATGTCTAATTGCAACATTGGATGTGATACATTGCAACATTGTTTTTTCTATGTTAATTATTACCTTACTGAAACGACCTCTCCTGATTTTGAAATAAAATTAATTAAATTTTCCAGTGAGTTGTAATTTTTTAGTCAAAATATATTTCTCTTATGTATACTTGGTAAATAACCAAATCCGCGAATCCCAACATACTTCAAAAATTAATTAGATAAAATAAATGTCTTTAGAGAAAACTAAATAAATCTCATCGCAGTTTGGTATTGTAGAAACTATCAAATAATTTGATAAAATAAAAGTCTTATATTTTTATATTATATCTAATTATATTTATAAGTCCAGTTGATTCATCTAATAGCACTTAAGTTTAATATCTATTTTTTCATAATTAATATTTAGAACATGTTATTGAATGTTAATGTGACAATTAGTTTTAAAGGATGACAATCATCTTTTAACCCATGAACCATACAATTGATGTTTTTTGCACCTGACACATAATAGGTGAGGAATTTATTTAAAATAATACCGGAATACTTGGAAAAAGGAAGGAAGTACTTTTGTGAATTGAAACAGTCCTCCCCTTTACTAACATGATGCTCAGTTTATACTTCAACGAGTTTTTCCGCCAATTTTTAAGAGAAGGAGAACCATCAAATAGCTGAAAGGAGTCCTTTTTCGTTAAGCTTCATAAAAGTATCCCTTATTGACGGAACGTTCAGAAGAACGACAACGGCATAACCTTGGTATAGAGAAGTTGATTCTTAACATACGAAGAAATAACTCTTTATCAAAATTGTAATGAAACCGTTAACGTCTAACCGTTGAAGAAATATCTTTAGTCACATTTACAAACGTTAGGGTCTTGTACCATCGATCTAACAAGAAATAAACATTGACGGAGTAATACAAGGGCCCACCGTGAGCCCCTTTCACGCCTCAGGATGAATATATTTAAGCCAAGGGCGATCGCTAAGTTGTTACACCGCCCGGCAGGAAGTTCCCTGCACGATTGTTTCACTTCAGATGACTAATACAGATTAATACGATATTTTAACTAGTCGAGGCCGCAGCAGAAGTTAGTAATAATAAAAAGGTATATATATTTATATACATCGCGTACAACAGCCAAGTGGGAAAAAAAAGAAGTGTACCCTAATGACTAGAATAAAAGTCTTTTTCCGAAGTAATCCAAGAATTAATACCTTAATTGGTATCGATAAAGAGACAGGGGAACAGGGTTACATAACGAGTTCAGTCAGGGACGAAAAAAAATTACTCCCGTATATCATAAATGCAAATAGTGCAAAACCTATCCTGGCCTTTAGCTTACATATCCAGTTGGCAGGGACTGTCACTCAAGAAACGCGCACCTGCTACGATAACGAACCTTCTTAAGGTTAGAACCTCCAGGTTCGTAAGGTATGAATTTATTTGTGATACTTGATATGATTAATTGTAACATGAGAAATTTGTAAATATTTTACATTATTGCCTACTTTAAAAGAAATTAATAAAAAAAATTAAACTTGATGTTGTAGATAGGTATCTTAAACCTCGGAACGAAACTCTAGACTCTTTTGGATATTGATATACATCAATACATAGGATGAAATCTACTTTTTTAAGAGCTGTAATGTGTAGAGAAAATCTATTTCTACACCTAGTTTGAAAATTCGTAGATTTCAATTTCCTTTACAATCTTCTAAGGTATTTTAGCAGATGCCAAGTTCATTCCCTTAGCATGGATAGGATTTCTAAATTTCTGTAGTTTTTTTTTTTAGTTTTATTTTATCGTCAGAATTTTTACCTCAAATTATTTCTGAACATTCACGAGATCTCATTGAGTAATTTTAACCATCCAATTAAAAATCGGTGGAGCCATTCGCTCAAAAAATCATTACACACCTTTTAGCGAATAGATTAAAACAGGTCTTATTCAATAATTTAGAAGATTCTCCTTGTAAATTCTTTTGAATTTGAATTGTTTCAAAATAGGCGTAGGATTTCCCCGAATAATAAAGATCGGTCCACTCGTCTGCTAAAAAACTCAAAAACACAACCCTCATGTGACATCTTCGTACAGGGGAAAAAGACACATCAAACAATGATCGGTTAGGGTTGCATTAACTTTCATTACATTTAAGATATTCTTATCTCCACAGCCACAGTATAACAGCCCACATCAGAAACATATCCTGCCTTAATCTTCGATAACGCTACTCTTGGAATAACAAAGGCGAGGACCTTAATTTGTGGGGATCGGCATCGCCCTCCCTATTGGCTAATTAGTAAGTTACAAGGACCCCTTAGCGTGTATACACGGACCAAGGACCTGCGCAGGACAAAGACATCGCATTACACTTTAACAAACAACGCACTTTAAGTCTTCTTCGATCCTTTCCTGGATAGCCGGCCGAGCATAATTACTTAAAATGACGACACACAGGAAACCGCTCAAACGTATTGCCCCATACTGCTTTCAGATTGATAAATCAAATTCTATGACTAACATATCCGCTGACTCAAGTTACGATCTCAGTAAAGTAAACAGTTGCATTAGTTAATGATTGTTCAAGATCATATCCTGCGAGGTGGGATATCCACACTCGGGGAAAACCAGTTCAATAGGAAAATACGCATCGTAAAACTTTAATTTATTATCATAACCGCAAATATTTTGAAATGATCCAATAACATATTTTCTGTGTATTTTTAGATAAGAGAAGGTAAACGATATATTTTAAACTGTTTAAGACATTTTGCGTACCGATATATTTTTTTTTTTAAACCCAAACAATTATTACTTTAATACAAATGCTTAGTTACTGTGGTTTCTAAATATAAAAAATGAATATATACGCAATATTGTAGTTTATTGATCTATAAGACATAATATGAACATATTTTAATATAATTAAAATATTTTTATGTGAAATACTGGACTTAGAAAATTTAGTTAAGCTATGTATTTTTCCACAAATTAATACGAGTGAAAAAATACAAAGGAAAAATAACTTAAAAGTCATAAGGGGAAAGAAAAATGGACCATAAGAAATTATAAAAAAATATCAATAAAGATATCAATGGGAGTGAGGGTCGAAGATTAACATAAATTATATTGGGGGAGTATCGCGGACGGAATATTTAATACCAGCCAACATTCCCTGCTTCCATAACGCCCTGCTTCTTGTTAACTCTAATATAATATAATATAATATAAGAAATATATAGCTATATGTTGGAATATATATAAATTAAACCTATTATACCTATTTACATTGCCGATAAGTGGGAATGGTACTGCATAAGGACGACATACTACTAAAACCTTGTAAGTGACTAATTCTCACTTGTATATTTTAATACTTATAACGAGCCATTTTATATTGTTAACAATTTTAAAAATGTTTCAACAAAAAAAAAATAACAATCTTATTTTTCTGTAACAGAAATATAAGTTTTTGTTTTTATGAACATTCAAGGTTTTAGAGGGAAGGTATCGGCATATTAGAATATAAACACAAAAATAAAATAAATATGTAAAGTTAATTATTACCCATTTCGAAGACAATAGTTGAATTCAATTACTATTCAGTAGATAGGAAACGATACTCACCTGTAAAAAAAAAAATATTCAAGTAAATATTTAAATAAATAAATTATGAATGTTAATATAAACAATTAATTAATAAACAGATTTTATATTTATTTCTGATGGCGTATAATATATATATTTTTTTGTATGTTTCATACTGTAATAATTCTACAATATAGGCTTTCACTGTTTAATATGTATAACACACTGAAAAGTAGATGGAATATTCAAAAGAAATTATAATTAACATATTTTTTTTTTAATATGTCTGATGATATGCCTGAATCTGATGATAAAAAACATTTAATACATATACATTGATCAACTAAATTTGTGTTATAAAAATACTATGTACTGTTTATGAATGCATATCATTAACCTATACGCAGAAAATGAGAAAATAATATAAACTAAAATCGATAGATAAAAAGTGTTCTTTAAGTGTTATCCTTTCATTTCTTTATGAATAATTGAGAAAAAAGTTATAAATCGGTATTTTTTGTTCTCCTTTGTCAAAAAGAGGAACCGAAATTCATGTCGTGGACAATTTTTCTTCCAAATCCATTACTCTCGCGTTAAAATGCTTCAGAAACATTATCATTTCTTCAACCGAAAATTCGGAACGGAGGTATGAGAAAATAATGAAGGCGGATTGACATTGAAAAAGTCCGGAATGAGGGTCGAAAAATGCAATCAAGGTTTCGGGAAGGCAGGGTCATTACCGACGGAGGTGTGATTCGGGAAGGTGGGAGCTGGATTCCACCAGCCTCTGAAAAAGCAAACGCGGAATATATGGGGAGTCGCGGCGATAAATTTGGGCGGTGCAAGAAAAAGATTCGGCAGGACAAAGGAAGTGTCCTCTGGAAAAAACAATGGAGGAATCTGCAAAAAAGAGGCGAGAGGTACTCCGCTCAACTTCGTAGTCGGAAACAATCCAATTTTCCTATT